AAAGAACAACCAAAACAAACAAAGGTTAGGTAGGTAAGAAAAAGCGTACTTCTCCATAAGCTGGTGAGTGGGGCCCAATATTCCAAAATTTGGAAACCAAATGAAGGGCCGATACACCTCCTCAACCAAGTCTTCAGCACGAAATAATCGACAGGTCTGCCGTCAGTCAGATGACTGGCAGTCAATGTCAAAAGTAGGAGGGTGCTCCAAAATTCGACACTGCACATGATCGATATCAAAACTATATCGAATCATCCTGATGACATTCGCAGAGCGACGAATCTTGTTCATGAAGTAAGAAATGCTCTCCATGAATTCCGCAATAAACAATGTAACGACTTTCTGGCGGGGATGCTTGTCTAAAGTTCTATAGTCTGGAAAGTGCGAAGTCGCTCAGAAACGGAAAGCGAGAACAACTTCCGCACATCCACGGTCCTGCGGGCATAGTCTTCAGGACAGAGGACAAGGTCGAGGTTTTCGCTGATGCTATGGAACGACAGTTCTCTCCCAACTATGATCTTGATAATGTTCTCGACGAGGAGCAACAAGTTGTAAGATCCGTCAGGAGATATTTTAGGGCCAACGACGTCAGTGATCCCAGCGCCGCCATTAGTGATTCTTCCCCAGAAGATTCTTTTTCGGAAGATTCTCCAGCTCCCGAGATCCCGCATTGCACACCAGCAGAGTTTCAAGGTCATATTAAAGACTTGAACATGCGTAAAGCGCCTGGGGAGGATCAAAGCACTAATAAGGCGCTAAAGCTGCCTTCGCGGAAGTTCTTGTCTTATCTAGAGGCTATTATCAATGCCATGTTAAGTACCCAGTATCGTCCCATCAGCCTACTGTCTGCTCCATCTAAGCTCGCAGAAAAGGTGATTCTACGTCACCTTGCGAATTTCTCGTCAGATCACCATGTGATTCCTGACGTGCAATTTGTATTTCGGTCTGAGCATAGTACGGAGTTACATGCGGTTGGGCTTGTGGAGCGAGGGGCTTTACCCTTAACGAAAGTACTGGCATCTTGCTTCTGGATGTCTCGAAGGCATTTGATAAGGTGTGGCACAAGGGCCTTCTCTATAAACTAATTCAAAAGGGCTTTCCATTTTGGCTCCTAAAACTTTTGAAATCCTTCCTTGAAGGTAGGAAATTTCGGATCAAAATTAATAATTTCTTGTCGACAGTACGGCCCATCAGAGCCGGCGTCCCTCAGGGTTCGCTTCTAGGGCCAATCCTTTACTCACTTCTCACGCATGATGTCGTTTGCCCTAGCGACTGTGAAGTCTATCTCTATGCTGATGACACTGCACTGGTGGCCCAGTCGCGTACCGGGAATCTGGTTCACGACAGGTTACAAAGTACGGTGGATGAGGTATTGGAATGGGCAGATCGGTGGCTAATCAAAATTAATTACTCGAAAACGCAGGATATCTATTGTACTAAAAAACGTAGCGGCGCCCCGCCTGAGGTTTTAGTGAATGGAGCTCGCATACCGTGGGTAAATTCTGCTAAGTATGTCGGTATCACTCTTGACAGGGGGATGACCTGGCAGAATCACGCTGAAGCGTTAAAAACTAAATTCCAAATTACGTTTCGGCAACTCTACCCTTTACTATGTAGAACCTCAAAATTAAGTATGCTTAACAAAGTTCGGCTATATAAGATGGTTATCAGGCCACCATTGACTTTTTGGGTTTCTTAATATTCAATTTTCCTCTTCTTTTTAACCACCCCGTAGTATTTGTTGTATGAACGTGGAAGAAAATCTACTGTATGTCTCCTACTATAAGGAACCCGTGAGGTGTTCTACCTTAAATAAGCATGATTATATCTACGTCCGATGCAAAAGGAAGTGCTACTGTCCTGAAAATATTTTAGTCGAAGTTATAACTTTTTCCATAACTGTCTAACGTTAGCTTTTCGAGTAATCGATCGCTTCAGTTCTTCGTAGATCACCCTGTATGTTGCTATCGATCATGAAAATCGGGGATGATCGCAGCTTTACTAACACCAAAACAAGTAAGGAAAGATTTCGCAGTGGAGGAAGCGAAAAAACAAAGGAGGTTAATAAGATGACAGAACAGGGAAAAACGCAATTTATCTCTCCCGTGCAAATTGTCTCGGTATTGAATTACAATATTAATCATTCACGATCTTTCGCAGCTGTGCTGCCATAAAAAATGGTGAGAAAAATACGAATGCCGGTGAATTTTACGCGAAATTTGGATCAAAATGCACCAGGCGTGCTTGATGTTAATCCTTAAAGAAATGTTGCCTGATATTTAAGTTATAAAAGTGGTTTGAACTGTTGCGTGGGTGAAAGGTTACTCATAGTCAAATGTAACATCGGACCTGGAAGCTGAAGACTGTTGACTATAGCGCTATATAGTCGAAATTTTGCAAAGGCTCTATTTCCAGTTTTCAATATAGCCAATGAAATGTTACACATCCATATAAATAGTAGGAGTAAGAGACGATTAAGGGTTTGAACAGCAGAGATATCATGTAAAAAACCTAAAAAATGTCAAAAAAAACTACAAAATGTCATCTTACAGACTATGTACGAGCCCCTTCCCACTTCAGTTGGCCCACTTCAAGATTTGTACCAAAATATGCCTTTACAAACTAAACATGACGAAACTATTTACTTCTAAAACAATTTATTTTCTCAAAAACATTTTAGATACACTCTGAACAAATAAACAATGTGCGAATAAATGCGCGAAGTTAACAAAGCAACAATTGAAAGATTACCATTGGGTAACATCACCTTTATTTTTTATTTGGGCTGAAATTCTTTGGGGCATAGTGTTAACCAAGTTTTGGCAAAAATTTGATGTAAAACAATCCCATATTTCTTGAATCTTCTGTCTCAGTTCGGTGATTGTATGAGCAGGATGTTGTCGTAGAACCTTTTTGATCTCATGCCAGAAAGTTTCAATAGGTGACAGATCTGGACTGCTAGAAATCCATTTCAAAAGTGGTACATTATTTTCTTTCATCCAATTTTAGCCTCTTTTGAGGTATGGCACGATGCACCGTCTTGCTGAAACACAAAATCTTGGCCGGATGTCAAACATTCTTCTATCACTGGTAAAAGCGATTCTTCAAAAATTGCCAAATATTTGTTTGTATCCACATTTCCATCAATAAACTGATATTTTCCTACTCCTTTTGATGACATACTGCCCCAGACCATAATGGATGCTGGAAATTTCACTTTTCTCTTCAGACAGTTAACATGGAATGCTTAATTTTTTTTGCGAATAACTCTACCAACTCACCAACACACACTTCGAATCGGGCCTCATCACTCCATTGTATTGCACACCATTGTTGAGGAGTCCATTGTCTATGTTCTTTAGCCCATCTAAGTCGATTTTTCTTTTGAAGTGGAGTTAATAGTGGCTCTTCTTTGGCCTATAAACAAGTTGTGCAACTTTAGGGTTTTTACTTCACTTTTTTTATAATAAAACTTACCTTGCAAGTGCTAAATCCCAGTTTGTGGTCCTCTCTATGAGTTGTGGACCTCGAAATTCTCCTTCCAACAGCGTCACTCTACAGAGCATTTAATTGGAAATAATTGGCACGCCTGTTTTTCACGATTATTCTTCTTAATGCTCTTCGGTCGGCATTTGTGATATTACTTTTTTTCACATATCGTGGCTGAATATTAACAGAACCAGTTACGTTATGTCTTCTAACAATATTTCTCACACTGTACCGCGATAAGTCTATCAAAGTTGCAATTTCTGAATTTGATTTCCCAGAATTAAAAAATTTAATTATCAGTAACCAAATTTTCTCACTAATAACCTTTCCTCTTCCCATTTTGAAAACCTTAACTACCCAAAACTATTTTAAACGTATTCTGACTGATGTGATTAATAAAAACAATTGTCATGGCTTTTATTTTTCACAGCCACCTATGCGTTATAGACTTATTTTGCATTGAAATGAAAATAGGTTGAAGTGCTGTAATTGCAACGTGTTATTTTTATGCTGCAAATTTGATTAGGAAGTGATAATGTTGGTGTTTTCTAATATATATTATCAAAATATTCATTGTCAATATTTTAAACCTATAACACCCTGCGACATTTTTATTACTTGTGTTTGATAAGAAAAAAAACTAAGATTTCAATAGTTGGGCCAACTAAAGTGGGAAGGAGCTCTTAGGCCCGTATCGTCAGTCGTCCCTACAATTGTAGGGCGCGTTTATGGCCTCCTTGATTGTCATACTTCTTTCTCTCCTTTAAAAAGTTCTAGATTACACTTGTCCCGTGTCAGCGTCAGCGCTCTCCTATTGTGAAGATATGTTTTCTTTTTAAATTGTAGGAAATTTAATGCTGATAAAACATTATATAACTCAAAAGCAAGCACAATTTGGTGCAAATAGATGTTTGTGACATAACCTCAAAATAGAGCGCTGACACGGAGACGTAGAAAACTATGACAATCAAGGAGGCCATAAAAGCGCCCTACAATTGTAGGGACGACTAACGATACGGGCCTTAGTATCTAGTTTGCAAATAGTTCGTTCCACGTGTACTCGCTATGGTCGCTGTGAGCGTCATCAGAAGCGTCCATCTGGAGAAATGACTAGACAGCATGACTCGCTCAAGCATGCATTGCTGGTTGCAGAAAACCAAGTAGTGTTTATCTCTGAGATGTTGTGAAAGAAAGAAATTTAGCAGTTGCACCATGCATTTGCATAATTATGTGAATTGGTCTGCATGTGTACAAAATCAGTGATATTTGCTGTGTGAGAAAATTATTACTGAGTATGCTGCCAATGAAGTATATGTATTAGCTACACCCGACGGGTAACTTATATATTGTCCTTTTTGAAGTTATAAATTACGATAAGTCCCAGTTCTTTTTTGTAATTCCGGAAACTTTGAGGGGAATTACGGGAAATCACCGCGACCGCGTTGTGTGTAATTACTGTTAGCATGTATATGACCCGTATTTCGACAGAATACAGTGAATATAATTGCGATATGTGGCAGTATGTAAGTATAAAATATGAGATTACAGATAAAGTTAATTACTACCCCAACCAGGAATTTTCATATGTTATTTCCAGAAGGAATAGGAAAAAGTGGAAAGCGCAACTAATTTCCAGCTTTAAACACATATCAAGTAAGTGTATTTGAAACACGAAGCCAATGGAATTATCATTAATACAGATTATTCGTGCGCACAAATCTTCACTGCTGTTTCCTTCCAGCTATAGTATACAACTTAACAGCTTGAACCTCTATGAAGCAGATGTTACATCACATCAAAGCCAAACATTGATAACTGAGGCATCATGACATTTAGGCAGCACGTATAGCTCGAGTTCACTGAGGTACAACAGCTAGTGCTAAGTTGACTGCTTGTAAGAAAACCTATGGTATTCTTGCCTGGGGTGGCCTAGCAAGTATAACCCTTAATAAATTGGAAGTGGATACTTAAAATAATGCTTGGCAAACCACGTAGCCCAACTAGCAAAGTAGTGGTATAAGCTTTTGGTAAAAGAACCGTTGTGTGGAATGCAAATTTGCTTTCTGCAACATATTTGCTCCAAAATGAAGTGTTTAAAATATTCTTATAGCATAGTTATACAACACCTTACAGGGCAAATTTTTAACTGTTGCGTAAACGTTTGTACAACTATATTATACGGCATATTTGCAAGTTAGTCAAAATGGTTGTGTTGTGGCATCCATGGTAACGTTTATAAAACAAACCCGAGCCTTGTTGTTTTGCTGTGCAATTTACTACTTTAGCCAACAAATTGCTCCCAACGGAACCACTTATACAACTGTTGATTAGTAACTGTTAAAGGTGTACATATGCTAAATATGTCGGTAAACAACTTCACCATAACCTAACTTTCTGCTGTCATATTTTTGTTAAAATGCCATAACCAATGTCTTACATGTAAGACAAACAACGCATGCATATTGGTTCAAAAGGTTATATCAACTGTTCAAACAGAAGATATAGATCTGGTACAAATTTTGGGTAAATCATTCGACTCTGTCGGTATTTCATTTCAGACATTTGTCAAGCGGTTGTATAACACCTGCATGCAACACCAAAATAATCTAATAACCTAAAGACAACATGGACGATGCCATAATTGTACACAACTACCCGCCATATTGGGCAAAGATTTATTCCTCTATTTAATATTAAATAATTATGTTTCAGTTCGAAATTACAGATATAAAGTGATAAAAATTAGTGTAATTGTGTCTAAATATAGGATTTGTGGAAGATTTAAAGCAGATAAGTTCAGTTTTCCATCTTAAAAATCTAGACATACTTTTGATCATTGTCAAAATATGAATCGAATACAAAGCCCGTAGAAATTGGGTAACTAATTTGCACGATAATCACAATAAAATTTACTGCGGAGGTAATTCAATAGCCCTATATCACAGTGTAGAAGTTATCATAATATACCTGTGTATGAAATTCACAATGGCCGATATGTAAGTAAACAAGATGACTGTAATGTGTTAGTTATATATCCTTCACTTCGTCTATACAATAGATAAGAAATAGTTTGGTTGCAATAAAGTAGAATCACGTAACAAAATAGTTGTATAGTTGACAAAAACTGAATCTTGCACTGACGCAAATGTCCTATAGCGGCTGCAAGAGGCTTACACTTTTGTTTTATAACTGTTACCTGCAGCCCTTATACAACCTCTTAAATGACTGAATACTGTATAATCATTCTTGCAACTCTAATATGAGTGATAATTGTTAGTTGGGAGGTATCCATCTGATGAGCTTTACAAAGAAGTGGGAGTATTTGATATCAGACAATTAGTTTTCCAACAGCTAGCCTCATTTCAGCACTTTCATAAAGTTAACAGTGATTACCTTAAGCATTGCCATAATACAAGGTAACGGGACGTATAATTAAAACTGCTAAAAATTTACAAAACGGTTGGCCTAAAAAGTGACAGGTCCCAAAGCGTTTAATGCCTTGCCCGAGCATATTAGGAGGATAAATCAATAATTTCTGTTCAAGAAAGAACTCAAGTTGTGGATCTCAAATACTCATAGGCAAGAAGTACATAATATAATACCTGTGATGATTGTATATGTCTCATAAATGTATTGAAACTGTTGCTGTGATGTATATATACTTACTTTCTCTTTTTATCAATTTTTCTCTCTTCCTCTATTTTTCAGACTTTCAATAACATTATATGTATGAAACCAGTTGAATATGCCAATTTTTCTCAAACTTGTCAAATTAACCGACTGTAGACTATTTTAACGGCATTATATGCTTGTTTTAACAATACATTATCAAATTATTACCGATTATGGTTTACCTTACCGTTTTGATGACCAGTATTGTAAACCGATTTTAGTCAAACTGTTTTTAAGTGTGTGAACACTATTTTATAGTGCAATACTTGAGTGACTTTTATGTTACTAATATTAGCAATGGACTGGAAATTTTAAAAAATGTCCATACCGTAATTAATGTTTTGTAATTTGTACAATCCCACGCACAAGCTTGCTTCTGTGGGTTTCCTGTTTGTTTACCATACTTTTATATTCAGTTTACAATATTATCGTTATTCTTGATAAATAAACTTTGCTTTACCTTACTTTACGTTATGTCACAAAAAACCTGCAACATGTCAAGAAAACCGTCGGTCCAGTACTGAGCATCGTAAATAGGCGCTTCTTGTTGGGAACGATGGTGGGGGAGCCGACAAAGACGACTCTGTTGCCAGATTTCGCCTAGCATCACGCGAGGCAAAGATACATCGTTAGGAATCCCATTTTGGAGACAACCTGCGTAATAATAAATAAGCAGAAGTAAATCATAGCAGATATTCAAAATGTTGTCCGTTGTTCTGTAGGCAAAGCCTGCCTCTGTCTGTACATGGTCCACTGCTCCATTTATCTATATTCTTCTCGACTGAAGGAAGTAGGGAAATAAATCCGGAGACTTCAAAACACTGTTGCCACCTTCAAATACAAAACAAATGAAATCTGATCATTTCAAGGCCTTCATAGAAACTTCTGTTTTTCTGGAATAACTAAGGTCTGCTACATATTATTCGTCTTGTAAATCAGAATTGAAAACAATATTCGTCTGCGCAAAAGTCCAATATGGCGTTCATAAGAAAAAATAAAGTTGATGGTGGAGGACGGAACATCATAAGAGGAATTATAATTAGGCCTTCTTGAAGCGGAGGAAAAGTGGCGATGTTAATGCGCAATTTATTTTGAAATCCCACTACGAATAAGGTCAAAAAAGACAAGAAACTGTTTTGAGAAAATTCTGTTTTTCCGCCTCTCTCCGGAAGTACTTTGAATTTCGAAACTTTCTAAGCGGCATTTTATTGATTACCTAAATACGCAACTTAGCCCCTATTTAAGCGACTTCGTATCTCTTACAGTTTATGAGATCCCAGTGGTGAGGGTCGAATTTAAAACACCATACAACACATCCAGTTCAGAGGATGTGTTGTATAAACCACAAAATCCGCGAGGCATCTTGCAACAACGCAATATTTACCTAGTCGCTTTTTCCCCCAAGTAGAATCTGCTGCGGATCTCTCTGCGTGGTGTCTGGACCGTAGCGCGGGGTCATTAGAGAAGTGACGCTTTGGATTAATGGTGGCGGGCAAAGCGGCTCATCATTGTCTTGTTAACGGTGATTTACTCCTCCTATTATTTGTCGACCTTCGCGCTAGAGACTAGCAGGGAGCTGATATAATTAAAAAGCTGCGTGTGCGTGCACGGATTTCTCCCGTCTGGTGAAGAAGAATGGAGGGCCTCAAAGAAAAGTAGAGAGCAATCTGGAATATGCTGGGTATGATGTATGCTCTAGCAGCTTCTTGCTATTATTATTACAAATGGGACTTCATTTTGATTCGAACTTATATTGGAAGGCCCACTGCGAATTTCTTATACCAAAGATAAACTCTCACAGCTATGTACTGGGGCATTCAAAAATCACGTTAACAATTGAACAACTGATACAGGCTTATTTTGCTAATGTGGACTCAAGTAAACTTAATACATATGGAGTACGCTTCTGGGCTCGGTCAACGTGCTCTGAAGATGTATTTGTATCTCAAAAAAGATGCGTATGATCATTGGCAGAGATATCACCAACAGAAAGCTGCAAACAATATTTTGTAGATTTAAACTTTTAAGAGTCCCTTCGTCGTATATAACATACAGAAAATAGGAAAATAATATGCAAAATCCGCAATAAGGAGGAAGGTGGATTCGAGCAGAAAATAGGACAGGTAACACGAGCAATACGTATTTCTGCTTGTTGGCTTCATCAGGTCCGAAATGAATGCACATATGCAACCACAAGAGTAGAAATACATGCCCATACATCCGGACACGGATGTAACCTGAGAAAACAAAGATGGAGAGGGCCTGATGAAGACAACAAGCAGAAATACGCATTGCTCGGGTTACCTATCCTATTTTCTGCTCTGCCCATTATTCTCCTATTTTTTGTTATATACTTTTCACCGCATGATCATTTTCTCTTCATATACTCATATATATACAGGGTGACTTCGAAGTTGAGTCATTTATTTTAACAGTGAGTAGATCTGATCAAAAGAAATGTTTTTTTCCTTTACCATTTTTCTGGTAAAATTAAAGTAACAAAGTTATAGCCCTTTGGAAGTTTGAGTACCGCCCTGTCTCAATAATAATATCATGTACTCGTGTTTGGCAACAACGGATATAATCCACCTTATCGGTTCATCGCATGGGAAACAAAAAAGCGAAAGAATTTGGAACGATGTTTTTATTTCATTCAGTTCAGTTATACATACAGTCAGTGTCAGTCGCGTGTGAATAGTGTCTGTTGCGTGGCTCAAACGAAATAAAAAATGGCACATGTTTATGCGGATCGGTTTCCCAATCGAGTGCAACCAACCCCTCGTGCCTTTGTTAATGTAGTACAACGGGCTCGTGAATCAGGTGACTTAAGACCTCACAGGGCACCTC